TGGGGGCGAGAAGTGATAACTACTGACAGGAAGTGATAACGGACGCCGAAATGATGATGTCATCAATTTCGTTACGCCGTTTGCGTTGACGGTGGACAGTTTGCACTCATGCATGATATGTGGGGTGAAACGGGGACCAAGAAGTTGAGTGAACGAATGTGGTAGCAACTGATAAGAACTGATAAGGGGCGTCAAAGTGTGGATACCACCAGTTTCGTTGCGGCCCTCGCAGTTACATTGGAAGCCTTGGCTCTCACATGTGGTATAGGGGATGGGACGGGAACACGGATAGTGGATGATCAGAAGTGATAACAAGCGATAACGGTTGATAAGGAAGTTAGGATTTTGAGTACTGCTAATTTCGTTGTAACCTTCGTGGTGACAGTAATATTAACTCTTACATGTTGCCTGGAGGGTGGTGGGGACGGGACATCGATTGTGAACAGTATGAACTGATAAGAAATGACAAGGAATGATAAGAGCGTTTGAATGCAGGTCTCTACAACTTCGTTGCAATTATCACTGGCAAGCGATCAAGGTGGCGAGGGTTGAATGTAGGTGACAGAAAGTGGTATGAGCGGCAACTGTACTGATAAAAGTAGCGACAGTTGAGCGTGCACTCAATTGAACTAAACCAGGTCCCTAGCACGTGAAATGTTCCATTCCTACCTTTCATCGGAACGAACTTTTCAAACAAAGAAAGTTGAGCTGCTCAACTATCTGGGCTTGGACCAATAGCGAATTTCCATCATATTTGCAATCTCCATCATGGTTAGATGCTGATTGATTGGTTATATTTCACTTACACACCGATTCTTCAATTGTGGAAATTCTATAAACCGCTAAATCGCCCGAGCTCGATATCAATGCTAAATGTTTACGAAGTCATGATAAGTGTTATTTTCATTCCGCATGCTACTGCGCGCATTACGCTACAATCTTCAGCAAAATTGGACGGCCTTCGAAATTCATGTGACACATCTTCCAAACATCTTACTGTTAGTTTCTCAGCCACGTGACCTAATATTCAGCAAGTTGTCCAGCTTCACTGAAAGCATTCCGAAATGTAGTGATGTCCAGTTCACAACAGTGCGTGCTCAGGCTCGGAGCCATCTGGCGCGTCCTCAGGTTGTGGATAGAGGAACGGCCGTCCCCGTGGCGGTTAGCTGCGAATATATCGAATAAGCAGCCGCGAACAATCGAGCCAAAAACGCAGCTATAGGACAAGAGGGCTGCCAACCCGAATGGACTGCTGCAAAAGAAAAATCGGCAAAAACTTTGAAAATAGAATGATCTGGACCCGAGATGGGCGTGCGAAGGACCCCCGACTTTGCACAACAAGCCCACACCTCGGTGTAAGGCAGGGGCGGAAAAAGGACTACGGACGCATCAAAATGCACATCGCTTCCCACAACGTCAGGACATTATCGACAGACTCTCTCCTGGATGTATATCTACAACAACTGGAAAAGATCAAAGCCGACATTAATCGGTGTATGCGAAACTAGGAGAGCACGCGCTGTCTCAGCGAGGTGGACAAGCGGTGAAGAAATTCTGCTGGGAGAAGGAGCCAAAATGTGCCCAGAACAGGTGGAGTCGGTTTCATCATAAAAGCGAAAATGGTCCGTACATTATTTCTTGTGATATCATATCCCCACGTGTCGCTGTTCTGAAGGTCAAACTACAAAAGTTGGGAAATCGAACGCTCAAAATGGTGCAAGTATATGCGCCCACTATCACGGCGGAGGACGACGAAATCGAACGTTTCTACGAAGAAATAGAGACGGCATTGAAGCTTAAATCGACATACACTATTGTTCAAGGCGATTTCAACGCAGTTGTCGGCTCCCGATTGGACGATACGGAATACCTCATAGGAAGGTACGGTGCGGGAGTAAGAAACGACAGAGGAAACCGTTTGATCGAATTTGCAGAACAACATCAATTCTCAATAATGAACTTTCTTCGAGAAGAAAGCGAAGCGTCTCTGGACATGGAGAAGCTCAGACACGAGAACTCTGAGGCAAATTGATTATGTGCTGACCGATACGCCAAGATTGTTTGCTGACGTCTCTGTTATAGGGGAAAATGTGATAACGACTGGCTCCGATCATCGGCTTTTGCGTTCGGTGATCCTCTTCGATGCCAAGAAAGAACGCAAAGAACACTCGTACGACAAACTTTCAATGCCGATATGTATGCTGCGATGATAGAGTCGTCAGATCTACACATGAATACCGGAAGCAATATCGATGCCGACTATGAAGATCTAGTGGGAAAAATAACTCAGGCCGTGAAAGCATCGAGCATAGCAATAGAGCCCGCAAGGCGACGACGTATATCGACAGAAACACTGCAGATGATGAAGAGGAGAGCACGCATGAAGGCTGAAGGACGAGTGCAAAATGAGGAATACCGGACACTCTGTGAAGCGATAAGGGAAAGAATCAAGTGCGACTATGAAGGCTACAGACAAATGAAACTTCGCGAAGCAGCTGAGAAAAGGGCTAGCCTGAAAGCTGTAGAAAGGGATATCCGTCTAAGGCAACATATACCCTATGCTCTCAAGGACGATACAGGTGTTAGAACAACCAACCGCCCACGAATGAACGAGATATGTACAAAGTTCTACAACGATTTGTACTCCTCAAAGGTGGTTGTTGCAAGAACCTACCGAAACGTTGCAGAAGAACCGATCCCAGAAGTAATGTGGGAAGAAGTGGAGAACGCAGTGAAACAAATAAAGGCTGGGAAAAGCCCTGGCTGCGACAACATTCGTCCCGAACACCTAAAAGCAGGCGGACTACATCTATTCAAAGCGCTGGCAGAACGTTTCAGCAGATACTGCCATGAAAAAAGGATACCTGCAGCGTGGAAAAAATCAAGGACGATACTACTGATGAAAAAAGGCGATCCTGAGAGCTTAACTAACTACAGACCCATCACGTTGCTTTCTCAAATCTATAAGACCTTCACAAGGATAATCCTAAATCGCGTAGTCAAAGACCTGGACATAGTCATGAGCCGGGAACAAGCCGGTTTTCGAAGCGGTTACTCCACACTCGATCATCTGCACGTTGTACGTCAGCTCATCGAAAAATGTGAAGAGTACCAGATCCCCCTATGCATGGCATTTGTAGATTACAAGAAAGCTTTTGATTCGGTTGAAACAAACGCGATATTGAATGCTATGAGCAGATATGGTATTAGTTCGTCCTATGTCGACCTCTTGGAAGAGCTGAACAACGGCTGCTCTACAGAAATAAAGCTCTTCAACGATCCATGCCAAATAAAAATCTGCAAGGGCGTTCGACAAGGTGATACGATCTCGCCGAAATTGTTTGCACTAACTCTGGAAGCCTTGTTCAGTGATCTTGATTGGACGGATGGCATAGAGATCGATGGAGAACGGCTGACTCATCTGCTGTTTGCCGATGATTGCGTTATTTTTGCACATAATGCTTTTGAGCTCCAACAGAAACTTGTGCTGCTGCAGAAGAAATCAAATGAAATTGGGCTTGAAATGAACTTGTTAAAAACCAAGTGGATGCACAATCAGTTCAGTAATACAGAGGCGATCAATGTAGACGGTGAAACGATTGAAGAAGTGGAAAGCTATAAATACCTAGGACACCAGCTCAGCTTCACAGAAGGCACTAGAGAGGAATACAGTAAACGCAGGAAAGCAGCATGGTCCAGCTTCAACAAAATCTCAAGGGTATTGCTGGACGATAACCTCCCGATGAAACTGAAGGCATCTTTGTTTCACTCAACGGTGATACCTGCGTTGCTGTACGGCGCGGAATGCTGGTCGCCCACTAAAGCAGACGAAGAGAAATTTGCTGTGATGCAAAGGTCAATGGAACGCAGAATTTGCAAAGTGTCACTTCGTGAACATATCACAAACACAGAGTTGCGAAGAAGAAGTGGCCTTGTTGATGTTGTCCAGGAAATGTATAATCGTAAACGAGATTGGGCCGGTCACGTAGCACGTCTTAAAGATGACAGATGGACTTTCAGGCTTATGAATTGGATCCCGTTGGACCACAAGCGATCGCCAAGAAGGCCCAAAACGAGATGGGCCGATCCGATGGTGAAAATGCTTGGCCAACAATGGAGAAGACATGCTCAGGACCGGAATGAATGGTTCAAAGTCGACTTGCGCAATTGGAGAAGCTTGCGAGGACGAGTCGGATACAGGTGATACAGGTGATACCATGTAATGCGCGCGGTAGCGTGCGGAGCTAAACAGGTATATATATATATATACTATTGAAATTTGAACAAATATTCAGATAATATCATATAACTTTCTTCAAATATGACGAATTTTCAATCTGAAAGCAGATTTGGGAGTTTTGTGAAGAGCTCTTTCTAATCAGTGTTGAAAATACAAAAATTTATGATAAATACAATTTTATTAGGTTGGAAGGAAAGTTCCTTAACACTCAATTCGCGCTCTTTCTGGATTTCTCCCGAATGCTCTGGAATCTTCCATGGGTGGTATATAGTAGGAGTGGACCGTGCTACGTACGGTGATCAAATCAGCTTTCCCAATAATGGCGTTTGCATGGCACTAAATCAACTTTTCCCGCCAGACACTCCGAGCGCTCATTCTGTAAGAGCTCCGCCTAGAGAGATCTGCCCACCAGAGGTGGTCAGGATCAGTCCCGGGATAGGCCTGGGCACGTTCTCTCACATGGCGGTTTCGGCTTGGTTTAAACGCTCCGCAGCGAAGACTTTGATCTTTCTGACGCAACACACGACTACTGCCCATTTTGACGTTTGACGGTATTTCCCACGGGTGATGATCTGTCTGGAGGATTGACGAGTACAAGGGCTTCACAATGCTAGCTGCTCGAAAAGATTGCAGAAGAGCTTCGCCGAATATAGCGACAAGTCAACCTGCTTCACGACAACGCGCAACGTCGCGGGTGTTCGGTCTCAAGCCACAAGACTCTGAAGCCAGGCAGGACCGCGGCTGCCCGTCTGCCATATTCGTCAAACCTATCTATACACCTCTTCAACCTTTCCTGCTCGCTTGCTCATTACCTGGAGAACAGGAAGCTCGACGACGTAAACGAGCGCAAATCCGACACCAGAAGGTTGTTTGGCAAAAATCTTCCTAATTTCTAATTTCTGCGGTGTCACCCAAATGCCCGAAGGTTGGCGTAGTGTTGTTGTATCTAATGGTCAATATGTTATGGATCATTGAATAAATAAAGAAAAAAAATAAATTCAAAAATTGAGCTACAAGTGTTAAGGAACTTTCCTTCCAACCTAATACATTGATTAACGAGGCAAATTCATGGAATGAGCAAGAGTTTTGTGCACGATTTCCGCTAGACTTACTTCTTTAGCGATTATATCGTAAAATGTTAATATATGCGCAGACAAACTTGGGGGAAGCATTTTCGTCTATTAAACGGTTATTAAGGTCAGCTCGCAGGACTCAGATAAAAATGGCATCGTCGGATTTAAAATTAACGAGGAAAATTCGTGATGAGTGCGAGCATTATCACTTCCTAAAGCCTTAACTCCGTTCAAACTGATCCATTCCGAAAAGTTATAATTGTCATAAACTAAAAAATTGCTCTATTAAATGCTTACTAGAACAGTATTAATAATCCACTACTTTTAAAAAATGGTCGACGGACTACTTGAACTCAGCCCTTTAAACCGCCTGCGCTCTCTCGCGGGTCCCTCTCCTCTCCAAGGCTTAGTCCTAGGGCATTCACCCGTTCTCTAATCGTCTGTGCTCTAGCCATCGCGGCAGGACCATTGAGGAAAAATCAAGTAGTCCGTAAACCGTTGGCAAAATGCTCAATCGAGGATTTTGCTCGAGTACCGCCGAAAGCTGCATTGGCGCTATTTCACGACTATCGCTCCTTTCAGGGGCGATTATATACTAAAGCAGAAGCAGATTCGGAATCCTCGTTCTCTTCCCCCCCCCCCCCCGCCCCCTCGTTCTCTTCTTCGAAGTTGGAGTTGAAGCGCGCGCAGCCAACTCAATCCGGGATGCGCAGTGTGCTTCACAGCCCTTCAGATTTGAGGACCCACTTGAAAGATAAAATATCCCTTGAAAAACGTGCGGATGCGGATTCAACTGTGTGTAATACATGAAGTATATTCATGTGGGCGGAGTCATATTTTTATTGGAAATCCTCCGCCTGTTATCGACTCGATTTGATGTTTGTGTTCCGAAAGTGATGATCTTACTGCATCAATCCGGCCCGATCTCTTCCTCCCAGTGGGGCAATATGACCCCCCCCCCCCCTGTAAACGTGTCGATTGGGCGTTCCTCACGCCACAACGTTGACCCTACTGCGGAGAAGTCTGAAAGCAGGAAGATGATAAATATGAGTCGCGGAGAGGGTATGAAAAGTCCGAGTAGAGAGAACATAACATATTATAGTTTTGGTGGGATTCGATCAAATCCTTGAGTCTTACAAGGGAGGTCGTTCAGGGTGTGCCAAGCTTTTTTCAAAACGGTCTTTCATGATATAGGGGCACATGCGGGAACCACCAGAACCATGGTTAATTTTTCCTGAACGGCCCTCTGAATACCAGAAAAGGGGGTCCCTAGTCACACCTTTTTCACCAGTTTTTCAATCAAAGTCTATTTGTAAGGGTTACTGACGGTCCTAATCATGAATATGGTACTAATTATTCATGCTAACTCCATTTTGCGCGAATTTTGAAACGTCAACTCGAAATGCAAAAATTTGTCACCACGAGGAATCGATGGCATACACAGTGCGTTCAGAAAAACTTACCCAGGATTTCGTGCCGGTCCCATATGTGCCCCCAATGATGCACAGAACCATTTTCGAAAATCTTGGCGACACCACTGATGACTTCCCTGTTAGTCGTCTGCGCGACGCTTTCGATGTATCGAAGTAACTCGACCCGGCAGTTGCAAGAACACGCACCAACAACAGCGAAGCAACTATTTTAGTCAGACCAAGTCCGGACAGCTTGACTTCAAGTGATTCCATCTGTGCCAACTTTTGGATTCGATACGTATGTATTTTTCTTTTTGTAGTAGAATCTTTTAGATACGAAACTATAAGCACTGCTTCACTGAATGGACTTCTTCGAACGTCATACGAACTTCAAGACTACAGCTCCCAATAGTCAAACACGGAAGGAATTATGAGCTTCTAATAGCATGAGCGAGTGGGATCCAATGGAGCACACGTGTGACTGGGGAGAATGGAGACGTCACTCACTTGAAACAAAGTCCAAGCAGGGTTCCAACCATTCGATCCTTCTTCTCCTCCCTAGCGTTAGTCCCGCGCAGTCGGGTCCGCGGTCTTTGTCAGTGTCGCCACTTCGCTCTGTCCAGGGCGTCCTCTGCTGTGGCCATCACTTAGATCCTTCTTGATCACGTCTCTCCACCTCTTCTTTGGGGCTCCTCGCGGTCGCTTGCCTTGCACTTCGAAGTCCATCGCTTTCTTTATCGGATGATCTTGTGGCCTCCTCAGCACGTGCCCATACCATCGAAGATGCTCTCGCATCTTCAGCTGTACAGGAGCAGTCTGCATGACCGCCCTGACATCCTCGTTTCTGATCCTGTTCAGCCGCGTCCAGCCGCATGCCCACCTCATCAGCGAAGTAAATCTGCCTTTTGTGGTTCTTGCTCAGGGGCCAGCACTCGCTGCCGTATAGCATCGCAGGTCACACTGTCCGGTACACCTTCCCTTTGAGCGTTCTGGAGCACCTTCGATCGCAGAGGATTCCAGTGGACTCCCTCCATTTCATCCATGCAGCGTTGACTCGAGCCTTCACTGCCTGATCCACACCACCGTCGGCTGCCAGATCGCTCCC